TTTGAAAACACATCTATTTCGCAATATCTGCTGAGGTGATTTCGCCTACTATCTTTTCCAGCTAGTTATTATCTCTTAGATGTATATTGGCTTGTGTTGTTTATAGTTGAAAGGGTCGAAAGCCTTTGAATGAGTATGCTCGTTTGTAGTTTTTTAGGTGTTGCGTTTTGTTCTTAAATGTGGTAAAATATAGATTGTTTCATTTATATTTGAACTTGATTGACTTTGTATCGCGCAAAAGCCTTTGGGGATGAAGTGTGATTTTCAAATAAACTGTATTAGTATTATTATTAAGTATGTCCTAATATTCAGCATTTCCGGGTATCCGGGTCAGCCCTATTACAAATCATCATCACTTTGTTAGTAGATGTTCTTTGTTCATCGGTTGTTCCATGAAATTTTTATCTTCTTGTACCTGGAAAATTAATTTAAAAAATGACCATAAGTTACTTATGGCAATTTTTTTTTAAATAAAAAAATTATTAGTGAACACTAAACTAAATTATAGCATGTGTAGGAAATATCTGCATTAGTTATCTTGGAAAAACTGTGTTATTGAAATATAGCTTTGTACAATTTTAAATTATATTTCAAAGGGTGTTTCTTGTCACACGTGGACAAACAGAAATGTATAGACATCGTAGATAATTGACTGTTGACTTCATTATATTTAAAAACGTTATGAAAGTTTCTTTATACGTTTTAAAACTAACATTTATACAGAACAAATTAATGTACAAAAGAAAAGGTTTTATGATTATAACAAATATATAAAAATTAATACAAAATTTACATGGTCGGAAACATACAATTATCAATATCTTTTTTTTTAAAGGCTTAAGTATGCAGGATGACCTTTTTAGTTGTGTCATTTGACCTGTGATGTCAATTTTTCGTATAAAAAATGCTACTTAAAATTTAAACGATGTGACAACCAAAGCAAGAGGAGACAACCAACGCCGCTCTCCATTTTTGTTTCATTTTCTTCTAAGATCAGTGCTTTTTGTGTTACACAACTTTTTTGAAGGGAAATATAATTTTTTTAAAACATTTATAAATGAAGTTGAATTAGAAAAACGTTAAAGTAAAAATGAAATAACATTACTGATTAGTATTTAGTAATACATTTTAATAAAGGATTTGTATTAATATGGGTGGACTGGGCCATGGAACATCAGGGAAATTTGTCGTGGCTACCAGGGTCCTTGATTTTTATAATGATGTTGTGTACGATATTTTCTGAGTACAGAGTTGGAACTAGGACCAAAAAAACAATACCCACAGTGACGCTACAATCTGAATGAATTTATTTAGTTTATGTATGGACTCAGAGCTGCCCCCGGCCTTCCCGAATCAAAATAAAGACAAAAATAATCATTTTCAAGTTTCAGTATAATCATAATCATAAACCTTTTGCAAGGAAAAGAACTAGGGGTTGTGTAATGAGTTTATTACCAAGTTTCTTCTAAAATTTAAAACTAAAAGGAACAACAATAATATTGTTTTTCATAACTTATACAACTTTTTATTGCACTTTCTGTTCTTCTTCCTATGATTTTTACTCTTTCGGAAGACCGTTGATGGTGCCCTAAGCTCATGGTATCTGCCCGAGTTTCCGTTACCTTGAGCACTGGTCACTAATAACACTATATTTATAACCGGCGACCTAATCAACAGTTGGTGGTTCAACTAAACATAATTTGTACAACAGCAGAAAATAAGTTGCCTCGCCTTTGTTGGTTGCTGAAAAAATATGATGATACCAAAACTAGTACAAGAAGGATGTATTATTTGGCCGACACTGAACAGCAGTAATATAGTTTTTCTTAACTTGTGCAACCTTGAAGCACTGCACAAAGTAACGTATCAATAGGCCATGGTAGACGCTACAGGACAATAATAGAGCTCGCACCCTTTAGTTTACAGTGTTATTCCTTCAGCGCTTCACTCTGTGTCAACAAAAACAAATAAGTTGGAAAAAAAAACTAAAAAAAACAACAAAACAAAAGACTTTAATTCTTGTTGTTGATTTTAAAATTAATTCAGATGGAAACAAGAAATGTATTCTTTGTCTACCCAAATGACTTGATTGACATTTTACACATTTATCGAGTTAGAACCCTTACCCAAATTCTCCCCTGACATCTCCGACATTGTCGTTTGATTTCTGATCCCCTAGCTCTCACGATGATAGTGACAGTTCCCGAAACCCGTTTAAAGTGAATAATTATTTTCGCTCAGCTTTTTCTATACTTCCCACCCCCTATAAATATTACATGTTCCCCCCCCCCATCCCTAAGAAGCTTCTTACTTCGTCTCTTTCACTCCTACAAAAGTAACAAAGCATTATAAAAGTTTAAAATTAGAGTTTTTTCGTTCTTTATTGAATCACAAAGAGAACTGAACAATTAGAAAATAAACTTATGACTTAAAACATTAAAAAAATGATTGAAGAAAATTTAAAAATATATGCTCATTTATGTCATAAACAATTTTGTCGGCAATGCGTGAACTAATAATATTACTTTTTAAAAAACACAACAAACAAAACACGCACTTATAAGAATTTCCTAGGTACGCCACTGCAAACTTTTTTCACGCCACTGAACTATGTCAAAAGTCTTATCTTCAAAAGTTCTATCTTCTTTTGCACCGTAGATTGATAATACTATATAAAATTGATATAGTTTCCATAAACTAAATATAATATTAGGCATCAAACGCACTTGCAATATTTTAAAATCCTTGAAAGAAACCAAACGGATGCAATAAGTGTTAACGCTTTTCTGGTAGTCATCCATGAGTCATAGTACATGGCATTCTGTATATGTTTCTTTTTGTCAAAGCTAACAAGTCTCTGTTCCATGTTTCAGCTTGATTTTTAACAAGGATTTTAAAATATTGACAACACATTCCCTAAACGTTTCAGCCGTGCCTCCCAAGTCAATTTTCCCTGTTTTTCAAGAGGCAGATGAAGGAAATATGATTCCACTGATTTCGCGAAATCTTAAATAACACCTGAAAAACAATTTTTTTAAAAAAAGTAATCATTTTATAAATGTAATATTAGAGAGGGGGCGTTGAGAATTTGACAAAATATCCATTCATGTAACGCACTTTATAAGATACCTCCCCCACCCCTCAAAGCCTCACAATCGTACATTTTTTGTCACCATTCTGCACTATAATGATATTCTCATAACCCACCCACTTTTACACCGCATATGTTACGCATCAAACGCACTTGCGAATTTTTTTTAAAGAATCTCATTTAGTGCATTTATGGGGAATTTTCATGCGCGAAATCGTATTGCCATCATGTTCCCCTTGAAAAAACAGGAAAAACTGATTTTTGCGGGTTGGATTGTGGTAAAGCTGAAAATTTGAAAGAATGTGTTTTTTTTTCGGCAACGAATCTATATTCCAATTTTCAACTCGGTAGGTTTAAAGGAACTGGGTCAATTTACCGTCCGAAGATTTTTTTCCAGCGAAGTTAATATAAGGATTTAAAAATTCCCAATAACCGCGCTAAATGAGATTCTTAAAAAAAAAATAAAAAAAATCATAAGTGCGTTTGGTGCGAAATATTTTCTTTTGTTTTTCTGAAATAGTTGGTGAAATGAGTATGCGGTGTAAAAGTGGTTGGGTCATTAGAATATTAATATTAAATCAGTAGCGTGAAAAATATAAGGTTTTGCTAGTCTTGGAGGGCCGGGGAGCACTAATTGGTTTTCTTGTATGTATGTTTTGCCCCCCCCCCCCCCACACCCCCTCCCCCTGGTGTAAAAGGGGTTGGGTCATTAGAATATTAATATTAAATCAGTAGCGTGAAAAATATAAGGTTTTGCTAGTCTTGGAGGGCCGGGGAGCACTAATTGGTTTTCTTGTATGTATGTTTTGCCCCCCCCCCCCAACACCCCCTCTCCCAATTGCTCCAATTAAAGTTAATACAAGATTTATTTTTTTAAAACTTGTTTTCAAGGGTTGTTTAATTAAGAATCTCATTTAGCGCATTTATCAGGAAGTTTATTTTGCGCGGTATTACACCAGGCATTTCACCATACTTTCTTTCAATCATATAGAATTATATTTAATGATTACAATCCAAGGTCACCTGTTTTCTTATAATACCTTTTGCTCGCACCCATATGAAATGCAGTCTTTCACCTCTTGGGATGTGTGACGTTTCCAGGTTGGGAAACCTGTAAAATATCATTTGTTGATAAAATAGTGGGTGGGGGGGGCGACATTTATTAGTCTTCGCCCTTGGTGTAACTTTGCCTCGGCACAGCTTTGTCTACAGAATCTGATTGCAAAAGACTTAGCCTTACAATTCGTACAAGAAAGTTTATTCGATTTACAGAAATTGATTGAATGCTCTTAAGTACGAAATCTTTTCAGCCTCAGAATATGTCAGGGTAGAAAAATGAAATGTGCTTTTCTTCATAGTGGATCTGTTGTTTTTTTTCCCCAGCAGAATTATTATCCCTGTAGGCCAATATTTGTTCACTGGTTTGTTAGATAAGAGCAAAGAGAGACACTTAAATGCTCTTGATTATCTTATTTTTTATAAAGAATTATTAAAAATGAACACAATAAATAAATTAACAATACTAAAATTCCACATTTTTGCAACTAGAATTGTATTTAGAATATTTATGTTCATTATAAGTGAATATACTCTTTTTGTTATAATATATAAAACAATTATTGTTATAACAATAAAATTAATTAAAATTGTAATTTTAAATACAAGAATTCTGTTTGTTTGGAAACGAATGTTTAAAAAAGATCACGATAATAAATAGATAAGACTGTTAAAATTTCTGTTTTATATTGTAGTCCTTAAAATTAAAGAAACTTCATAAATGGGTTACCTTCTCTTTAAACAAAAGGTCACGACTATTTTTATGGATGATTTTATTAGTTTCATGGGTTTCATAATTAGTACTATTAAAACCATTTGGTGGCGTGCGGTATCTCCTAGATGATGAAGATAATGAAATATTTCTACAACAATTACGAAAACTCAAAATCTTTTTAAAAGCATCACGAAACTCAGCATTGAAAATGCTGTATATGATAGGATTAAGACATGAGTTGATATATCCAAACCACGTTGATATTACAAAAGCGTTTGGCTGAATCAATTCAGTGTTGAATGCTGAAATAGGATTTATAATAAAAAAAGGTAGCCAACAGCATAAAAAAACTCCTGTTATTATACCAAGTGTGAAAGCAGCTTTGTTGTCTGAAGCAATCTTTGAGTTGCTTTGGTTTATGCGGTGGTTGTCTCCGGGTGAATATAATACAGGCCTTTTCATACTTTTTATACTTAGTGCATGCTTCCGCGCAAACAAAAACAACTTAAAATATAAAATAAGCATGACTAGACATGGCACATAAAAACTCACTGTAGATGAAATAATAGCATATATAAAATTTAACTTGATTGTGCATTCATGTTCACTTTTTTTTGTTTCATTGTCTGCAGCGAGATTGATTTCATGTAACCCTAAATGAATTGGTAGAAACGAAATAAGCCCTGAAAGAAACCAAACGGATGCAATAAGTGTTAACGCTTTTCTTGTAGTCATCCATGAGTCATAGTACATGGCATTCTGGATATGTTTGTATCTGTCAAAGCTAATTACACATAAATTTAGGATAGAAGCTGTCGAACACATAATGTCAAATGAAATCCATATGCGGCAAAATATACTGCCAAATATCCAATTATTTTGTATATCATTTGCCATTGCAAAGCTCATCACTACACATGCGACAAGTAGATCAGCAACCGCAAGGGAAACTATGAAATAATTGTTTTTTACTCTTTTCAGGCGTCTTTCAGTTAACACCGCAACACACACAAGGAGATTACCACTGATGGCTATAAAAATGCAGAATGCAAAAAATATTCCTAAGGAAAATTTTCTCCCCGAAGTGTTATTCTCATCATCATTGTCACTAGTTTTTACCAAAGAACTATTGAAGCTCTCGTTTTGAGTTGTAATATATATCACAGACACAGTGTGGTGACTTATGTTGATGTCCATGTTCCATCAATAGTTGGTACAGCAACTAACAGAGAGATCCCTCCAGCTGATATAAAGATCAGGATTTAAACATTATCCCATAAATAAAAATTATTGTAATAATTCGCTTTATCATCACAGTCGGATAATGAAAAAAAAGGAAGCTTTTTTTGATAGGCCGATATTCGTACTCAGTTCTCAACCGTTGGGAAATAATTATATTTTTTGTTTGATCTTGTTAAATTATTGACTGTTTTTACATGCATCATATTTACTATGAAGCCATAAGTACGAAGAGACTCCGAATATCTGAAAAAGAAAGCAAATTGAAATTTAAGAGTTAACTAAAATTAAGGATTATTTGTTTACAATAAATGCAGTTTACTTTGTCGATCGGAATTTTTGCCGTTCGCCATAGCTAAAAATAAAGTACATCTGATAGCTAACGTTTCAATGATTGATGGCTCTACATATCGATCCAGAGATTCAAGAAGTTTATTGATTACAAGCGATAGCAAACGATAAAGCAAAAGAATGTAACATGATTCAAATATAATCAATTACAGTGGTCAAATACTCTATATATTACATATATTTGATATTGCCATTTTTATAATATGTTTTGGATGCTGTCCATCATTTAAAATAACTAAATAAAATTATAATCTTATTTTTATGGTATTTATCTCGTTAATATTTTATTATGATACCGTTCCAGTCCTTAACAAAGCGGGACGTCTGATTATATTCCCAGTGCAATCTTTTTCACGGGGACTTCAAATCACACAGAGACATTTAGCAACTACAATAAGTTATAATAACTTTTAAATTTCAAATAAAAAATGAAATATTAGCTCAATTCAGTTATAAGAACATTGTTTATCTTTTAAAAGGTAGTTATTTGGGATAAAATTAACAACTTATTACACATTTATTTTATATAAATAGCTTGATTTTTTTTTTATTTCTGAGGCTTCAAAGAATCAAATGACAACAAGGGTCTCTCTTGACTTCAAGAAAGAAATAATTATTTATTTTTCAAATAGCTTATAAACTGTTTTATTTCTCTCTCTCCCTCCCAAAAAAAATTAAAAATCTCCTTTGTCATTGTCAAGCATACATCCTCAAACCTTTATTTCTTTACCTACCTGTCTTAGCCAAATAAAATACAGTTTTGTGTAAGCTACATGTTGCAAATATATCGAAAAGCTCAAATCTGAATCTGAAGCGAACCGTACCAGCGTACATTATTCGTATTGTTGGCGCTTTTTGTACCCTATATTACAGTGTTTTCCAAACTTTTTTTTATACTCCGCAGCCTCCACGAATTAGTTAACTAGTCTCGAACCTTCCACAAATTATTTTATTAAGTCTCACACCTCATACCAAAAGTAACGATATGTTTAATTAATTAAATTTAATTGATTGAATTGCAAGGAGATCTATAGAACGTAGAAAATAAACCTGTGGCTTATGACTTAACTTAGAGGAACCTGTTCATGACGAACTATTTGAAAATATAGTTACATTTATAATTTAAAAGCTAATTTCTACTCTGTTCTTATAATATTTTCTGGGCTGCTGTCTCGTGGCACCTGGCCGCACTCCCCTGTGGGGTTTCGAAAAATGAATTGACTGGGTAGGCAATACTCCTTACAATTTCTAAACCAATATTTCTGCTGCTTAAAGTACACACGAAGCCTTTTGTCTTTATAACTAACTAACTTTTACAGACATTTTTATAGGTTAAAGTAATTTGTAAATAATGATAACTTTAAAAACTTTATTTTATATTTTTAACATTCGTAATTAATTAATTGATAATCGTTAAGAGCATTTTAGTTTCAGAATATTAATCTAGGACAGGGGTCGCCAAACGTTTTTCACGGCGGGCCGGATAACGGAAAAAATGACGAGCGCGGGCCGGATAATCATTCTGTACATTATTTGCAAGCCAGAACGAAAGCTTTGGGGAAAAAGGCGAACAACTAAGTTTAGTATTCCATATTAATCATTGGTGAGTTGTGTGCAATGTACACACAAAATAAAATAAAACCAACATATTAATTTTCTAAAAAAGTTATCAAATAAGGCGACGTTAGCAAAAAGATAGTTACATCAGACGCAGTGCGCATATATTCGAAAATCAAAAACTAAGCAGCAAAAAATGTAAGTGAGATTTGTGAAACTGATGTTTGCTTTCAAGATATCATTAATGTTTGGTTTCGAATTGCTGCATCATATCAAGAGAATGTTTTCAAATTTCATTCGATGTGTTGACTTGACATACTTCATTTTTGAAAATGTTTGCTCACAGACATAAGTTTTTTTCCAGACACTGATGCCATGCCAGCGGCAAAGTTCTTCAGTTTCAGACTGAAACTCAACATGAGGTCAGCAGCGGTAAAATTCAACAAGTTTTCCTTCTCTGTGCGTCGGTCATCTACTTTTAGTATTTAACTATTTTGACGCCAGTTTAACTCGATCCAACTAGGCGCTTCGATGTCAGTAGTTAATATAGTATATATAATGAATACTTAAAATTAACTTATAGTATATATAATGAATACTTAAAATTAACTTATAGTATATATAATGAATACTTAAAACTAACTTATAGTATATATAATGAATACCATTTTATTTATTTACTATTAAGACACCGTATTGTATGATTTTGAGACGATATTTTACGATTTTAGGAGTTCGAGGGTAAACATATGTTGAATCAAGCAAGTAACGTCGACGGCCGGATAATATGGCCTCGCGAGTCGTATTTTGGAGACCCCTGATCTAGGAGTTTTAAAAAATTACTCCGTAAGTAGCAAACTATATTAAACCACAATAATACTGCTTACAAAAGAAAAATACAAACAAAAAAAGAAAGATGTATAATAATAATTGATAAAAATACCTGTCGGTGGAACGTTCTAACTCATTGGTACTTGGGTCAACAAAGAAAGCCATCGCGCTCTGTAGTCATTTCTTTGAGATTCTGTCTTAAGGCAATCTACGGAGTAACTGATCAAAAGAACAATTGGATTATATTCTTAAAGAAGCTCTAAGTATTACTATAAAATTTATAGACACACACACACACACATACACACACACAGAGCGAGAGAGATAAAAAGAGAGAGGCATAGATAGACATAGATTGACAGGCAGACAGACAGACAGACAGACAGACAGACAGACAGACAGACAAACAGGTGGATGGATGGATGGATGGATGGATGGATGGATGGATGGATGGATGGATGGATGGACGGATGGATGGATGGACGGATGGACGGACGGACGGATGGATGGATGTATGGATGGATGGATAGATCGATAGATGGATAGATGGATAGATGGATAGATGGATAGATGGATAGATTAGATAGATAGATAGATAGATAGATAGATAGATAGATAGATAGATAGATAGATAGATAGATAGATAGATAGATAGATAGATAGATAGATAGATAGATAGATAGATAGATAGATAGATAGATAGATAGATAGATAGATAGATAGATAGATAGATAGATAGATGGATAGATGGATAGATGGATGGATAGATGGATAGATGGATAGATGGATATATGGATAGATAGATAGATAGAAAAAAGAGAGAAGCGGAGAGTGAGAGAGAGAACTGTTTATAAATATTACTAGCATAATGTATTTAAGTGATAATTTTTAAAAATTAGTTTCAAAATTAACGAAGTGTAAGAATATATTTTCGAAAGTTTGATAAAGGGTTTTTAAAAATCCAGTTTAATTGTAAAATCTTATGTTAGTTGTAAGTTATAAGTTAAAGACAACTAATTATAAGCATTTAAATATTTATTTTTCACCTTACTTGCCTTCAAATGAGTGAAAGCCAAATTTCTAAAATTAATTATTTTATTTTAGTTACAGTTTCCCAATTGAGCTTTATTACAAGAGGGAAATAATGGCTGATTAATTTAGCTCTTTCACATCTAATGTATCTTAGTCGCACCCCACGTCGAGCCTTAACTTGACACATTAATTAAAATATTTAAAGATCATGTTCAATTAAATTTTTAAAAGAAAAAAATGAGATAAGCATATATAAGCATATAATAAGAAAACGAGTGTCGATTTCCCAAAATAATTGGGACCGATGTATTTTATTGTGTATCTATTAAAAATCCCGCACGGTGTATTGGAGTGGTGTAAAAAAAACAACAACGATGATTGGACATTTTAGTCTGTGAAAAGAAGAGGTTTCCAAAAATAGATTTGTGCTTTATCTGAACGCCATTCATCTATTACATCTAGATGTCTCTGAAGGCGTGTATTCTTCAATAATGATTAATTAACAAGTTTGGATATCGCTTTATCACAGTCCGCTCATTTCGTATCTAGAATGTATATGGATTGTGCCTTCATGTATTACATTTTTCGGAACTCTTGAAAGAATATTTTCCTTCTTTACTGTATCCACTCATCGATGGAATGTTCTATTTGAGTACACTGGAATGTCGTTGAAAATAATGTCAACAACGCCTTTGAGTGCTCATCATGCTGTTGTTAAAACAGTGAAAGATATGTTTGATGAATGTTGGGAGGCGATGAAAGCTCTATGTCATCCCCTTGTAAAATTTTCATGTAGCCTGTGATTTCACGATTATCTGCTACCTTTAACTTTGGGCTGATCTACTTGAGGAAGTTAATCTTACACAGTAGTATCTGCAGATTTAAGGGTTTACTCTTGACAAAGTGGTGACAACCCTAATCGCCTTAAGATTGTTTCTGCCCGCGAAGCGTTCTCACTTTGTGGAACATGCTATTGATAAGACATTTTTTAAAATCAGACCAATATGGAATTTCGGTAGAGAGAAGATTAAGGTTTAAGAAGAGAATTGCAGGAGAACTATTATTTAATAGATGCTGGACTCTTTCTGTGAGAAGAA